TACAGCTGTTTGTTTACAGCTGTGTTTGTTTACCAGCTGTTTGTTTACCAGCTGTGTTTGTTTACCAGCTGTGTTTGTTTACCAGCTGTTTGTTTACAGCTGTTTGTTTACATCTGTGTTTGTTTACAGCTGTGTTTGTTTACAGCTGTGTTTGTTTACAGCTGTGTTTGTTTACAGCTGTGTTTGTTTACCAGCTGTATGTTTACAGCTGTGTTTGTTTACAGCTGTTTGTTTACCAGCTGTTTGTTTACAGCTGTTTGTTTACCAGCTGTGTTTGTTTACAGCTGTGTTTGTTTACAGCTGTGTTTGTTTACAGCTGTGTTTGTTTACCAGCTGTTTGTTTACCAGCTGTTTGTTTACCAGCTGTGTTTGTTTACCAGCTGTTTGTTTACCAGCTGTTTGTTTACCAGCTGTTTGTTTACAGCTGTGTTTGTTTACAGCTGTTTGTTTACCAGCTGTGTTTGTTTACAGCTGTTTGTTTACCAGCTGTTTGTTTACCAGCTGTTTGTTTACCAGCTGTTTGTTTACCAGCTGTTTGTTTACCAGCTGTTTGTTTACCAGCTGTTTGTTTACAGCTGTGTTTGTTTACCAGCTGTTTGTTTACCAGCTGTTTGTTTACCAGCTGTGTTTGTTTACAGCTGTGTTTGTTTACCAGCTGTGTTTGTTTACAGCTGTTTGTTTACAGCTGTGTTTGTTTACCAGCTGTTTGTTTACCAGCTGTTTGTTTACCAGCTGTTTGTTTACAGCTGTGTTTGTTTACCAGCTGTTTGTTTACCAGATGTTTGTTTACCAGCTGTTTGTTTACCAGCTGTTTGTTTACAGCTGTGTTTGTTTACCAGCTGTGTTTGTTTACAGCTGTTTGTTTACAGCTGTGTTTGTTTACAGCTGTGTTTGTTTACCAGCTGTTTGTTTACAGCTGTGTTTGTTTACCAGCTGTTTGTTTACAGCTGTGTTTGTTTACCAGCTGTTTGTTTACCAGCTGTGTTTGTTTACCAGCTGTTTGTTTACCAGCTGTGTTTGTTTACAGCTGTGTTTGTTTACCAGCTGTTTGTTTACCAGCTGTTTGTTTACAGCTGTGTTTGTTTACAGCTGTGTTTGTTTACCAGCTGTTTGTTTACCAGCTGTTTGTTTACCAGCTGTTTGTTTACCAGCTGTGTTTGTTTACAGCTGTTTGTTTACAGCTGTGTTTGTTTACCAGCTGTTTGTTTACCAGCTGTTTGTTTACAGCTGTGTTTGTTTACCAGCTGTTTGTTTACCAGATGTGTTTGTTTACCAGCTGTTTGTTTACCAGCTGTTTGTTTACAGCTGTGTTTGTTTACAGCTGTGTTTGTTTACAGCTGTGTTTGTTTACAGCTGTGTTTGTTTACCAGTTGTTTGTTTACAGCTGTGTTTGTTTACCAGCTGTTTGTTTACAGCTGTGTTTGTTTACCAGCTGTTTGTTTACCAGCTGTGTTTGTTTACCAGCTGTTTGTTTACAGCTGTGTTTGTTTACCAGCTGTGTTGTTTACAAGCTGTTTGTTTACCAGCTGTTTGTTTACAGCTGTGTTTGTTTACAGCTGTTTGTTTACAGCTGTGTTTGTTTACCAGCTGTTTGTTTACCAGCTGTTTGTTTACAGCTGTTTGTTACAGCTGTGTTTTGTTTACCAGCTGTTTGTTTACCAGCTGTTTGTTTACCAGCTGTTTGTTTACAGCTGTGTTTGTTTTACCAGCTGTTTGTTTACCAGCTGTTTGTTTACCAGCTGTTTGTTTACAGCTTGTTTGTTACAGCTGTGTTTGTTTACCAGCTGTTTGTTTACCAGCTGTTTGTTTACCAGCTGTGGTTGTTTACCAGCTGTTTGTTTACAGCTGTGTTTGTTTACCAGCTGTTTGTTTACAGGCTGTTTGTTTACCAGCTGTTTGTTTTACAGCAGTGTTTGTTTACCAGCTGTGTTTGTTTACAGCTGTTTGTTTACCAGCTGTTTGTTTACAGCTGTTTGTTTACAGCTGTTTGTTTACAGCTGTGTTTGTTTACCAGCTGTTTGTTTACCAGCTGTTTGTTTACCAGCTGTTTGTTTACAGCTGTGTTTGTTTACCAGCTGTTTGTTTACCAGCTGTTTGTTTACCAGCTGTTTGTTTACAGCTGTGTTTGTTTACAGCTGTGTTTGTTTACCAGCTGTTTGTTTACCAGCTGTTTGTTTACAGCTGTGTTTGTTTACAGCTGTGTTTGTTTACAGCTGTTTGTTTACCAGCTGTTTGTTTACCAGCTGTGTTTGTTTACAGCTGTTTGTTTACAGCTGTGTTTGTTTACCAGATGTTTGTTTACCAGATGTTTGTTTACCAGCTGTTTGTTTACAGCTGTGTTTGTTTACCAGCTGTTTGTTTACAGCTGTTTGTTTACCAGCTGTTTGTTTACAGCTGTGTTTGTTTACCAGCTGTTTGTTTACAGCTGTGTTTGTTTACCAGCTGTTTGTTTACAGCTGTGTTTGTTTACCAGCTGTTTGTTTACAGCTGTTTGCTTACCAGCTGTTTGTTTACCAGCTGTTTGTTTACAGCTGTGTTTGTTTACAGCTGCGTTTGTTTACCAGCTGTTTGTTTACCAGCTGTTTGTTTACAGCTGTGTTTGTTTACAGCTGTGTTTGTTTACAGCTGTTTGTTTACCAGCTGTTTGTTTACCAGCTGTGTTTGTTTACAGCTGTTTGTTTACAGCTGTGTTTGTTTACCAGATGTTTGTTTACCAGATGTTTGTTTACCAGCTGTTTGTTTACAGCTGTGTTTGTTTACCAGCTGTTTGTTTACAGCTGTTTGTTTACCAGCTGTTTGTTTACAGCTGTGTTTGTTTACCAGTTGTTTGTTTACAGCTGTGTTTGTTTACCAGCTGTTTGTTTACAGCTGTGTTTGTTTACCAGCTGTTTGTTTACAGCTGTTTGTTTACCAGCTGTTTGTTTACAGCTGTGTTTGTTTACCAGCTGTTTGTTTACAGCTGTGTTTGTTTACCAGCTGTTTGTTTACCAGCTGTTTGTTTACAGCTGTGTTTGTTTACCAGCTGTTTGTTTACCAGCTGTTTGTTTACAGCTGTGTTTGTTTACCAGCTGTTTGTTTACCAGCTGTTTGTTTACCAGCTGTTTGTTTACCAGCTGTTTGTTTACAGCTGTGTTTGTTTACCAGCTGTTTGTTTACAGCTGTTTGTTTACCAGCTGTTTGTTTACAGCTGTGTTTGTTTACCAGCTGTTTGTTTACAGCTGTTTGTTTACCAGCTGTTTGTTTACAGCTGTGTTTGTTTACCAGCTGTTTGTTTACAGCTGTGTTTGTTTACCAGCTGTTTGTTTACCAGCTGTTTGTTTACAGCTGTGTTTGTTTACAGCTGTTTGTTTACCAGCTGTGTTTGTTTACCAGCTGTTTGTTTACAGCTGTGTTTGTTTACCAGCTGTGTTTGTTTACCAGCTGTTTGTTTACAGCTGTGTTTGTTTACAGCTGTGTTTGTTTACCAGCTGTTTGTTTACAGCTGTGTTTGTTTACCAGCTGTTTGTTTACCAGCTGTTTGTTTACAGCTGTGTTTGTTTACAGCTGTGTTTGTTTACCAGCTGTGTTTGTTTACCATCTGTTTGTTTACAGCTGTGTTTGTTTACCAGCTGTGTTTGTTTACCAGCTGTTTGTTTACAGCTGTGTTTGTTTACCAGCTGTTTGTTTACCAGCTGCGCTGTGCTGTGTTCGCGCGTGATCCGTCGTGTGGGGGTGGCCTCATGGTGGCACTGTAATGGGTGGGTGGGTGAGTGGGGTGGGTGGGTGAGTGGTGTGGAGGTGAGTGGGGTGGGTGGGTGAGGTGGGTAGGGGTGAGTGGGGTGGGGGTGAGTGGGGTGGGGGTGGGTGAGGTGGGTGGGTGGGTGAGTGCGGTGGGGGTGAGTGGGGTGGGTGGGTGAGTGGGGTGGGGGTGAGTGGGGTGGGTGGGTGAGTGGGGTGGGTGGGTGAGTGGGGTGGGTGGGTGAGTGGGGTGGGGGTGAGTGGGGTGGGGGTGGGTGGGTGAGTGTGGTGGGGGTGAGTGGGGTGGGTAGGTGAGTGGGGTGGGGGTGAGTGGGGTGGGTGGGTGAGTGGGGTGGGGGTCGGTGGGTGGGGTGGGATGGGGTGGGTGGGTGGTGGGGATGGCAGCGCTGATTGCATGGACGGGCACCTGCAAGCACTGTTTGTGCTTCTTCATGTGTGGCGTCACAGTTGGTGTTTTGTTACTTTATTTCAAAATCAGGTTTCTCACGTTGATAAAAGTTGTTCCAAGTGTGGAACATTTTGGGGGCTGAACCGTGACTGAGATTTGAACGTGGGAGTGATCGTCTAAGCAACATTCACTTCACGAGAAAACTTCGGATGTCGCCCGCTAAGGGCGACACGCCTGTTACACTGTTTTGCATGTTACTTCTGTATGTATTGTGTTTATAACATCAGTAGGTATGACGTCATGTACTCACGAGTGCCATGACTGCAATCTCCTGGACCCCCACGTGGGAGTTGTGGGAGGCAAGGATGGAGGAGCTGCTGCTGATGATGCTTCGCTCCCTATCCGGGGTCACACTCAGAGAAGCAGCTCCAGGGACCTCTGTGATCTTAGTGATGCCCTCAGTCTGCATTCTGCTGTGAGGTTCATGTTAGGTGGAGCCTGAGAATCTATCCTGGCCTCGTGAGTTCTTACCTGGCTAACCAAAAACTAAAATAATCCACGTGTTTTTTTTAAAATTTAATCGCGACGAGGAATCGTGATAATCGCGGGGGGGCCGGACTCCATCGCCGACGATTCCTCTCGGCACCTTCTGAGCTCCTCTTGGATCTGAGGCCCAGGGAAAAACGATTCCTCCCCTCCCCTCCCTCCCTCTACAGCCCTGGTCAATCACGCGGTCAGAGGAGGAATCGAGGCTCGACAGATCCTCGGGCACGAGTGTCACCGGATTGCTTGAAGAAAAGGGGAAGAGTGAAAAAAAAGAGGATCAAACAACTTCACGATGCTATACAAACAAATGATCACGGATAGTTCATGGTGTTTTTTTCATGATTGATTTAATTTTATTTTGTTTCCAGTCCAGTGACAATAAGTGGTCAGAATCGCACTGCTAAGCTAGGTGATGTCTGTATAAGTGCCACACATGCGCACGTTGCTGTTCACAGCACTGGTAAGGCATAGGAGGGCCGGGGGGCAGAGGGAAGTTTCGAGGACAGGCAGAGTTGTGGGTCGGGCGTCCGGGTCGCGGCGGGTCCAGCGTGGCACGCGTTCGCCCCGCGGCGCGTCAGATGAAGAGCGGAGTCTGCGAGTAGCTGTACCGGATCTCTTCACCCTCCAGGAGTTTCCTGCGAATGGTGTTTGCGGTTGAAAAGAAAATAGGTTGAAGGGGAAGAGTCTCGCGGGCTCTGCCTTCGTTCATTCGTCACGCGTCGTCAGCGAAGGACCGTTTGTCCCAAGCGTTGCGACCTCTTGCGACAGCGTTCGCTCTCACTGCCGTACACCCGCGTCTCGAGTGAGTCGTTTGATCCACGAATCACGGGGGGTGGAGGGGGGAGGGTGACCACGTGCGGAGGGGGGGGGGGCATTCCTTTGAGGGTCTCAGTCCTCACTTAGAACGTCGACCGTCAACCGAAAGTGTGCGATTTGCTGCTGCAGTGTTTTTTTGCGCATCAATACTGGGCGACGTGTCCACAACGTGGGCACAGTCCGTCTCCCTCTCATCACGTGGGGTTCTATCCTGATGGACTGATGACCGAAGGATGACGACGAATGCGTCGCTGAGCAATTACACCGAGTAGCCCGTCCCCTTCCCCCCCCCACAATGCTGCCTCGCGAGAGTTCGGAGCCGAGAAACGCGAAGGGTGCAGGAACTCTCTCGGCTCAAATCGACGACGCTCACGCGAGGAACCTGCGCGCCCTCTCGTGGCGTGACCGAGAAGATGAGGCGAGAGTTGCACCTTCGTCGACGCCGCCACCCACCCGGACGGAGCCTTCTGCGGTGCCTCTCGCAAGTCACGCAAAGTCCCGGAGGAGGCTCCGAGGCAATTCCCACGGGCCTGCTCCCTGCCACCTACCGACTTACCGCGCCCTCTACCCACGACGCCTCACTTCATCCCTGCACCGCGGATGCGGGCGCGCAGGGTTCCGCGTTGGGGGCTAAAGCCAACTTCGTTTAAACTTTACGTTTTAAGGTCGGAATTTTGACAAAATAAAATGTCGGAGTGAGGAAGGAGCGCCACAAATCGCACGTGTGGTCTTGTTCTCTCTTCAACTCTATAATGTGCCCGTTTCCTCTTCACTCTGTGGCGTGCCACGCGTACGCTACAGACAATAGGGAAGAATCCTGTGGATGGCGGCATTGACTAAATAAAAGCCAAGCCAAGCATTTGCCGAGGTACGAGACCCGAGGTTGCGCGACTCCGCATCCCACGGTCGACGTGCTTGGACGCTGGACAGCCGCGCGTCGCCAGGACCGGTTCAGATGCCGCTCGCCACGGACCGTTAGCCACGGCTGGAGATCGAACTCGGGTCACGGGATTTCGATGCGCGGTGCGTGAGCCACTGCTCCACCGCTCTCACGCCGTGGCGGGGTGCAAGCTTCTCAGCGGCTGTCAAAGCCCCACCCCCCCCCCCCCCCGTGTATCACGTGGGCGGAGAGACGTTTGACCATTTGGACTCGTTCATCATATCACGATCAGTGCCGGATGAAGCGAGTGCGGGGCCTGTAGCATATCCTATAAAGGGGCCCTAAATAAAAAAAACAAATAGTAAAACACTAATTTTCGACTTGCATAGTAAAGTAATTGTATTTTTTCATTAGCTATACAGCCAGATAATAGGACAAATCGCTAACCTTAAACACCCAGTCTTTCATAAAAGTTGAAGGCAGTATAGTACTATAGTAATAGCGCAAGTGCAGAATCACTCAACCGGAATTGATAGCTTGGAAGCATTTAGTGCAGGGCCCGTAGCTATATATGTAGTTACTTTTGCTCCTAGGAAAATCCGGCACTGATCCCGATCACACCTTTCCCCCCCCCCCCCCCGAAGCACTCATTCTTCAAACCCTGCCCACGCACTGGCTCCGATCGGAGCCGATGCGGGGCGAACTCGCGCCCAGCGAACCCGATCCCGGGCCCCCCGCGGCCATCCACGATTCGTAGTCGCGGCGGGCGCCGCTCACACCTGTACGGTCCCACCTGTACGGTCCCACCTGTACGCTCCCACCTGTAAGCGGCGATCTCGATGTCGAGCGCCATTTTGACATTGAGCAGGTCCTGGTACTCCTTGAGGTAGCGCGCCATCTCCTTCTTGGCGTCACGGATGTGGTCCTCCAACTCATGGATGCGCTCCTGCGTGCGCCGGCAGGAGAGGACTCCAATCAGCGGTCGATTGCCAGTGCTTATAGCAAGAAAGCATTGGCGTGTGTTTGCAGCAGCTTTGCATATCGCAAGTGGATGTATGCTTAATATAAGGGCTGCCCGTGCCATTGGAAATGTGGAATTTCCAGCACGAGGTCAGGACTGCCAACTACGGTGAGCACCACCTATTTTGTTCTTGAGCAGACCCTCCGTCTGTTCTCGCCCGCTCACGTCCCGAGACCGAATTGACTGCAGTGGAAGTCAAACGTGTCACCGCTTGAAGGCGTCATGAATCAGCGTTCATCTCTGCTGGTGACCTTCATCCAGGGGTGGATATTTCACGTACATTTCTCACATTTCACTCCATTAATCGTCTCGTTCACTCAGCCGCTCTTTCCATATGACAACCTCTTTTAATGACCCAAAAAGTGGTTATTATATCAACCTCCAATTAATATTTGACTACACAGACCATCATTTGATCTTGCAACCTTCCAATGCTTTTCAGTTACACAACCATAGCATTGACTGGATCACACAATACTTAAATACCAATAATTAAGTTAATGGGATGAGAATTAATTCAGAATCCCCAGGAAATTGGATCAGTACACATCAATGCTCAATCATTACTCGCTCGCCCACCCACTCACCCATTCACCTGCTCACCATTAATGTAATCACCTGCTCATCATTTCGCCAATCGTTTCTCTCATCGGCCTCACTGACTCACTTATGTACCCTGTGCACTCACTCAATCATTGCCTTACCCATTTACTCGCTTCATCACTCGCTCACGTACTCACTCATTCTCACACTCACGTAGTTTATGCCCAAACACACAATTGCTCGATCACTCAGTCGCTCGTAAGCATCAATTCAATCAGTCACACACCCATTGACCGAATCACTCTTCCTCGCGTCAATTCACAACCTACCAAACTCACTAAATTACCTCACCTACTCGCTTGCTCACTCGCTCATCCACCCGAGGACTCATTCACTCAACCACTCACCTGCTCGCTATGTCATCCACCCGCTCACTCACCCGTCCACCCGCTCACCCACCCGTCCACCCGCTCACCCACCCGTCCACCCGCTCACCCACCCGTCCACCCGCTCACTCGTCCACCCCACCTGCTGCCTGGCGAGATCGTCGCCGTGCTTCTCGTCCAGATCCTGGATCTGCTTGAGCAGCGACTCGTTGATGTTCTTGAGGCCCTCGATCTCCGACTGCCTCGACTGGATGAGCCTCTTGTACTCGGAGCTCTCCTCGCGGATGGAGCGCACGGTCTCCGTGCTGCGGGCCGCGCTCTCCGTCACCACCTGGGGGGTCGCGGGGGTCACAGTTCGTGCTGCGTCACCGTCCAGGCGATGCTGGCCACGCAGGAGATTCCTGCGCCGCACCACCGACTTTGCGAGCCCAGAGACGCGCGTGTTATAATGGGGGATGATAAAAAAAAAATGTCGAAATATCTCTTTGCTTAACAGAGGATGCACGGCCAAAAATGTGTAACCTGATCACCCAGAATGCACTTTGTCACCGATGACGAACTGAGGAGACATTAAGAGTGGACGAACGACGTTACCTCGCGTTTCTTAATGTGCAACACGGGGGTGTGTGGAGGTGTTGACGAGAGAGAGATCGAGACGGAGGGCGACAAACGAACCAACCTGGAACTTGGTGCGGTACCAGTCCTCGGCCACCTGCATGTTCTTGGCCGCCAGCTTCTCGTACTGCGAGCGGATGTCGTGCAGGGCAACGGAGAGGTCCGGCCGCGACGCCTCCGCCGCCATCTCCACCACGGCGGTGACGGAGCGGACCTGGGGCAGCAGCTCCGAGATCTCCATGTCGTGCAGGCGCTTCAGGAAAGCGATCTCGTCCAGCAGAGACGCGATCCTGCCACGGGGGTCGAGGGGGACAGAGACTCGGTGACTCCGCGTGGGGCCGCGGTGAGACGGAGCGCCGCTGGCGGAGAGAGCGATATTCGGTTTTGCAGGAAATGAACGAAACTACTCAAACTAAAAGAGATGTATTGTATTATTTTGTTTTACTAGTCAAGGCCCACTGAGTTCTGTCGCTCTTTTTCAGAAGCGACCTGGCCACAAATGATAGCTCGATGAAAGTGGCTTATCGTCGTGTGGAAATGTTTAGCAGCCAAATACTCTAAACGCGTGAGATGATGATTCTAAGTGAGGGAAAACCCGGAAGGCCCCGAGGAAAACCCACGCGACCACGGGGAGAACATATGAGATGTTTCACGCATGAAAAACTACTAATAGTATGATAATAATATCACTCGGATTTTGTGATAATATTATGGTATTATTGTAATATAACTTCATCAGGATGATTTAAACACTTTGGCAGAGCACTCGCTTTACCATTGGAGGGTTGCAAGTTCTAATCGTGGTCAGGGATCGACCGAGTCCATCATCCCATGCCCTCCATAAGAATGTGGAATTTCCACAACTGGCTCGGGGCCTCCGAACAGCACGAGAGATGAGAGTCGCCCTCAGCGGCTCATGCGAGCAAGGGGACCCGCGTGAGACGTCGATCACCGCGGTAGCACGGTGATGAACGTCACGAGTTGGCGGGGTTTCCTCCGGTACTCTGCAATTGGCCACATTTGAAAGAGAGTCGTGTGACTCGCTGACGGTCGTCGCACACGCACCCGTCTCTCTCGACATCGAGCATCACTCGCCCTCTGTAGGTTACATTGTCACGTTTACCATCTCGCCACCTCCACACTGCCCGTTTCGAGGTTGTGAGTCACTCAGCGGCGGATCCTCTCCGTGACCCACCGACCGTCCCCTTCTCATGCGCCCGCTCACCGGAGTGCGCACCCGGCACCGTGCGAACGAGAGAGTGACAGCGAGAGCGCGCGCGAGAGAGAGTGAGAGGAGCGCGAGAGAGAGTGAGAGGAGCGCGAGAGAGAGAGTGAGAGTGTGAGAGAGAGTGAGAGAGAGAATGAGAGAGAGTGAGAGCGCGCGAGAGAAAGTGAGAGAGAGAGAGTGAGAGTGTGAGAGTGAGAGGAGCGTGAGAGAGAGAGAGAATGAGAGTGCGAGAGAGTGAGAGTGCGAGAGAGTGAGAGCGTGAGACAGAGAGAGTGAGAGAGAGTGAAAGTGTGAGAGAGAGTGCGAGAGTGAGAGAGAGTGAGAGTGTGAGAGAGAGTGTGAAGGTGAGAGAGTGAGGGATAGAGTGAGAGAGAGAGTGAGAGGAGCGTGAGAGAGTGAGTGAGTGCACGGGTGGCGGCACCTGCGGTCCAACTCGGCGTTGGCGAGCGCCGCTCTCTCCGCGTCCTCGCGCGCCCGGAGCGCCTCCTCCTCGGCGCGCTCCCTCGCCCGCGCCTCCTCCTCCAGCTTCGCCTCGGTGCGCTCCAGGACGCCGCGGAGCTGGTCCCGAGCCGCCTCCATGCGCGCCTTTTCCGCCTGCTCCTCGTCCGCCTGGGCGCGCAGCTCTCGCAGCTCGCGCTCGTAGAGCTCCCGCAGCCGCTGCTGCCCTGCGCCGCCGCCGGCACCGCCCGACTCGAACTTGCGCAGCGCCAGCAGCTCGGTCTCGAGCAGGCGGTTCTGCTGCTCCAGGGAGTGCACTTTCTCGATGAAGCCCGCGAAGCGGTCGTTCAGCCCCTTGAGGTCCTCGTGCTCCTGCGAGCGCAGCGCCAGCATCTCGGTGTTGAGCGAGTTCGCCTGCGTGAAGTCAAAGGCGTCGGCGAACGCGAGTCCGGTCGACGGGTAGTAGGGGGAGGAGGAGGAGTGGGGCGCCGAGGCGTAGGAGAGGCTCACGGCGCCGAGCCCCGGGTACGAGTAAGAGGAAGGAGTCGCGGCGAAGCGCACGGACGCGGGGGAGACGCGGCGCGTCGGCTGCTGGGAGCGCAGGGAGCTCGCGGAGCGGCGCTCGTTCGCGTACATGGCGGGAGGTCGCTGCTGCTGCTGCTGGATGCAGCGTCTGTGACAATGTCTCTCGTGGTCGGAGTCGCCCTCGTGCTCTCGAGCTGCGGCGGCGTTGTTGTCAAGTCGTGGCGGGGCTGTGGCACTCTCCGTCTCGCACACACTCACCCGGCCGCTTTTTATCCAGACGCAGAGCGTCTCAGCGCGCCTGCGCCATCGATTCCGGCAGAGGTTGCGTGCGCGCGCGTGTGTGTACGTGTGTGTGAGTGTGCGTGTGTGTGCGTACGTGTGTGTACGTGTGTGTACGTGTGTGTGTGCGTACGTGTGTGTACGTGTGAGTGAGTGTGCGTTTCTCTTCACCCACCCCCACTTGTCCCCCCCCCACTCTCTCCCCCCTTGGCTCCCAGCCCAGGGATGAGCGGATGCGAGGGCAGCGTGCGGGCGAACGAGATAGGTGGCGCCAATGCAGCGGAACGGACATCTGAGAGGGGGGGCCGAAGGAGCCGCGCATTACGCATTGGGGGGGAGAAGGCGGGTGGATGGAGGAGACGGGGAGATGGCAGGGGTAGACGGGGGGGGGGGGGGTGCTGGGGAGCCGCTGTGTATCGTGCACTGACATTGAATTGGGGTGGCGCTGCGTTCGGTCTAAATTGGAGTGGATGTCTCTATCCCGGGGCTCAGTGTCCACCGAGGTGTAAACATCACCTCTAAGGAGCCAAAGAAGGCCGGGCGGGCTGTTGGCCACCCATCCCGCTCGTGGGCCCGTGCCGGCCTTGCTAGGTGCTCGCTCACAACACTTGCTTCCAGCAGTCTGTCACAGACTCATCCGGGGCAATGTTTGGTGAGAGTGCAGGGTGCTGGGTTTGTCGCTGGGAGGCAGTGGTGTTTTACGCGAAGCCGGGTGCTGGATTCACAGCAGCTCGGACGCAACGGTCACTGCCGTGCCGAGGGGTCCTGGGATGATGATGATGGGTGGGATGCAGTGGGGGTTGGAGGCGATGGGACGGCGCTGTGCTAAGCATCAGCGGGGAGACGGTGAGAGTCTGCGACAGTGGCGGCGATGCATTACGCGGTGCAATAAGTGGCTGGGAGTCACCGCTGTGTTGTGGATGATATCGGTTTGCTTGCATGTAACAGCGGGGAGTTGGTGTGTTGATGGCAATGCGGGTGCTGTGTCATCAGTGAGAGTCGCTGTGCAGGGTGCCGTGTTCAGAGCGTGGAGTTAGTGTGATGATAGGGATGCAGGGTGTTTGTGTTCAGAGCGTGGAGTTAGTGTGATGATAGGGATGCAGGGTGTTTGTGTTCAGAGCGTGGAGTTAGTGTGATGATAGGGATGCAGGGTGTTTGTGTTCAGAGCGTGGAGTTAGTGTGATGATAGGGATGCAGGGTGTTTGTGTTCAGAGCGTGGAGTTAGTGTGATGATAGGGATGCAGGGTGTTTGTGTTCAGAGCGTGGAGTTAGTGTGAGGATAGGGATGCAGGGTGTCTGTGTTCAGAGCGTGGAGTTAGTGTGATGATAGGGATGCAGGGTGTTTGTGTTCAGAGCGTGGAGTTAGTGTGAGGATAGGGATGCAGGGTGTTTGTGTTCAGAGCGTGGAGTTAGTGTGAGGATAGGGATGCAGGGTGTTTGTGTTCGTTCGTTGCGGCGAGTAAAGGGGTACAAGCAATGCAAGTGTCTGGGTTAATATCTGGTGTCGAGTGTTTAACATGTAGCCTTCTGCGACCACTGTCATGATCCATCGTTTTGTTATGGGTCAGATCGTGTAAATACGATACCAACGTATGTCGTATACCCTCCACCACACAGCCGAATAAGCAATGAGGTTCCTAACAGTTAACTGTTGCGGATCGCTCGCCATTACACCGGTGTTCTGAAGCAATACACATTAGTGCGTTTGTTCACGTGACAACACTATTCATTCGACTGTGTCGGGTGGAGGATGTTGTAGTTACACGTTGGTCTTGTTTTCTCGCGATCTGACCCCAGCATCAACAAATGGGGGTCGATTTAGTTTATCTTGGCAATGCAGATGGCTGTGTTCGTGACAGCTGGAGCCAGTGTGCAGACGGACGCGAAGCGCTCTGCATTTTAATATCATGAATCCATCGCTGCTGTACACACACAACGCACGGGCGCATATCAGCAGAGAGGAGAGACGACGCCGGGTTCGTGTTCATAACTGGGGAGCGTAGGTGGCTGTTCGTGGATACGCTGGGCGCTAAGCAGCCCTCTATAACACCCTGCCACCACAATGCAGGGTGCCGAATGAGGGTCCGACAGTTCGCTTGCAGTGGGCCTCTTGCGGCAGCTTGGCACCACAACCCCCATCGGGCATCATCTCACGGGGTCAAGCTTGGCACCACAACCCCCATCGGGCATCATCTCACGGGGCCAAGCTTGGCACCACAACCCCCACCGGGCATCATCTCACGGGGCCAAGCTTGGCACCACAACCCCCATCGGGCATAATCTCACGGGGCCAAGCTTGGCACCACAACCCCCATCGGGCATCATCTCACGGGGCCAAGCTTGGCACCACAACCCCCATCGGGCATCATCTCACGGGGTCAAGCTTGGCACCACAACCCCCACCGGGCATCATCTCACGGGGCCAAGCTTGGCACCACAACCCCCATCGGGCATCAACTCACGGGGTCAAGCTTGGCACCACAACCCCCACCGGACATCATCTCACGGGGCCAAGCGTTGCGGCGGTGCCGGGAGGAGGGGATGCGGCTCCGGGGATGGGTAAGGGTGGGGGCAGGGTGCAGGTGGGGTGAGAGAGGCAGGGGATGGCGATGTGCCCGTAAGAATGTCCGCGTAGAATGATGGCTCCGAGTGATTTTTGCAGCACTCCGGCATCACCGCTGGTCGGCTTTGGCGCATTTCCCCCGTAGAAGTTTGCGCAGCGAGGTGAATGTCTCCGCACTGCGCAACGTGACGTGGCCTGATGTCGCTCTCGCCGCAGTGCCGGGTGGAGCCGCGCCGACTGCTGCTGCGGTGTATTAACAATTCATGAAATGGCAACAAATAGCATGGCAATGTCACGATTGGTTTAAGCCTGATTCGTAGCCCTCGTTAATTTAATTGTTGTGTTCTTTTGTGCATGCACTGCAATGTACACAGACGGTGTGCGAACCAAGCGATTTAAATCTCAATTCTTTTCTCCATTGACTAGCTAGTTACTAGTCTGATTATATTCAACTCAAAGAGTGTATGTATCCCGCGAGCTCAGTGTCCATTGTCGGTCCAAATCAGTTTGTGAAATTCCACATTCCTAAGGCGGGGACCTTTTGTTTATAACAACCACTGTTGACATCCCACCCGATACGTTGGTACCTATTGCCCAGGACCGCACTTACCCTTGTTTAAACTGCACGACGGAGGTGCGGTGCTACCTCCTCCATGGGGATGAAGGGAGTCGCCATTATTGTGACCGCAGTGAAATGCATTTCGCCACTCGCATCAGCGATAGTGGCCCACTCAGTGCAAGGCTCTCGCACACGAGGTGCCACCGACTGGGGTTATAACCATAACATCATGCAGCTGTGAACTTGACAGTCACTCTTTAAATGCAATCAGAGATATTACAAATTTGTATTGTTCTTAATCTAGGAAAGCCAAACGACATAAACATGCAAGGATGAGAATACATGTTCATTAAAAGCGTACTGTTGGACAATTGTCATCTCATTGAACAAACTGTTTTGTGTATATACATTGTTCTATTCTTGGTGTGGTTTTTATATAAGCCCTCTTGGGTTTCCAACCTCACCTGCGCACCGTTTTACCTTGATCTGTTTTTATTGTCTTTCACTTGTCTTTGTTGTGCGAAAATAAAATCTCCATCATGAAACTGTCACGTGGTGACCATCAATAATTCTTAATTACAAAGCAGGTTTTATATGTTTTATTTAGGAATACTAATTTATTATTTAAGGGGTTATCTTATACCCAATAGCTAATATTAGTTCACTTCAAATGCAAATTTAAAAAATAACTTCATCAGAAAATATAAAATAAATCTCATCAGGCCCCGTGGTGTAAAGTGCCGTCTCTGACTCCGTCTACCTGCGCTCTTTCATTACGTGCTGTGAAGAAGTGCCATTATCCTTAACGACACCCGTGGTATATATCTTTTATTTGCAAGGCCACGGTGTTGTTCACAACTTTGTTGAGTTTTGTTCGTTTCATTTTGCTTGTGCACCACAGCCAGCACAGTATCACCAAATAATTATTAATTCTACAGGACAACCAACGTTGATGTTGATAACAACACAAAGGGATCCTATGTTTTACAGTTATATAGGAGTACGCTCAAGGCACCCAAGTGTTCATTCCAAGTCGCTGCTTTATAAAGAACACCAATAGTGTGTGTGTGTGAAATACAGCCACTTTGAGGACATCTTCCTGCTTCAGAGAACAGAATAGGTGAAAAGAAATTAGACTTGTTTCCCAAAAGACTTATTCACAAATATGATTCACAATGGGCTCAAACAGCGCTCACAACACAGGAACCACAATGCCACATTCGACCACTAGAGAGCACTCGTAAAATGGGTTGGCTGCTGAATATCCTTGGGGTTGAATATCCTTGGCGTTACGATGCGAGTCAAGCGAACGGGTAGCTTCTCTGGTCCGTATCTTTGACTTAAACGCCCAGTTGGAATCGTGAGTGTCTATTGCCATAGCGAGTCTGCTTTGAACGTGCGGACATTTTGACTTGGCAAACATACCATAACTAGTCAATCCTCGTCCTTGTGTGGAACACAATGGTCTACACGCCTGTGTGTGCGCATTATACACGCACACAGCCTGAGTCTTGAATTTTCTTGGCAATTGTATGACTTAGAACCTTGAACTCCTGTGTGGAGAGTTGAAGCTGAGATTTCCCACTAACTATACGCGGCACGTTGCAGCAGTCTGCTTCGTATTAATGTTGTGCCATCTCGTGGTGTCAGAGTGGGGTGGTGGTCGCCGTGGTTACAGCCCCGGGTCACGATTAAATCTCGGTCGGGGTGGGCGATTCTAAACTAAACTTGTTTTTGATTTAAAGCTTTCCTGACTGCAGTAATTCATATTCTTAGCTCTTTCGGTAAAGTCACGTTGAAGGGAAACAAATACTCTAAACGCCCGTTGATTCTAAATATGGAGGGAATAAATCGGAGGACCCGGAGAAAAATCCACGCGACCAAGGCGAGAAAATGCAAACTCCAAATATACAGCAGCAGGCGTCAGGGTCGGGATCGAACCCACGAT